CTCTATATGGACAAAAGTAATAAGTGACTCATTTCAATAATTGAATTCAGGTGTTTCCAGTCCCATTGCCACAGGTGTATAAAGTTACGTGCCTCACCAGCTGCCTGCCTTTACCAACATACCAACATTTGTGAAATAATGGGTCGCTTTATGGAATTCACTGACTTTAAGCACAGTGCTGTAATAGGATGGCTTTGTTACCACCAGTCAGTTAGTGGGATTTCTTCACTTAGATATTCCATGATTAGTTGTAAAAGGGGTTATTGCAAAGCAGAAGCGTTAAGGAACCACAGTTAATTCAGTTAATAAATGGTAAACCAAATAAAGTCATAGAGTGGGGCTATTGAGTGCTGAGGCGCATAATGTGTAAATGTTGCCAACAAGCTGACTTGATAACTCTGGAGTTCCAAACCTCCTGTCGCATTAACATCAGCACAAAAACTGTACGCCAGGAGCTTCGTGGCAGGCCAAGAAGCTCCTGTAAGTGTATTGTGTAGGTGGTCTAAAGTGTAGATTAATAGTGCTTTTTCTACTGTAGTCTCCAACAAACTCTTAACAAAAAAACAAAACAAAAAAAAACACACACAGTAAGTAACACTGTTAATACATGTGAAAAAAAAAATCCTAAAGACCTAGACGATTTGAACATTTCAATATTTATGAGAACTTCAGCTCTTCACAAACGTTCTCTGATTGAAACACACAGGCGGACACCACATCTACCTCCATTTACTTTTTCTTTTTTTTGTACTGTCACTCTTTAACAGACTCCTTTGCCTATCCAGCATTTTCATTTAAATTAAAATACCCGAGCTGAACAGAGAGATTTCTCCTCGTGCATTTGTGTGATTCAGAGATGAAGTTTAACCAGCTTATTTTCCCCCTCACCTTCTGAACTCTTTTATAAATATAAACATCTATAGGAACACATTTTGTAACTTTTACAAAGAAAGAACGGGATGGGTTTTGGTAATTGTGACGCACAGTGTGTCAGTGTTGGGGACTACTTTATACTACTTTATGCACAGAAATGAACTAGTGTGTGTATAAAATGTGTATTGAAGTGTAGTTTTTATAATTTCTGTAGCATTAAAAAGGGAAGCGCTTCATTATCAGCTAATGTTATTTTGTAGCGGGCCTATTCTAAAGGAAGCTCGGGTGATTTAATGTTTATTCTGCTCAGTTTTGTATTGCAGGTAAAGAAAACGTCCTCCAGCAAATTGTCTTGTAAATAAGTGTGAGGTGTGACTTGTATTTTATGATCTGCCGCTTGCTTAACATTTTTGTGTACAGTATATTAAGTGAAGACTGAGGAGGAAGTGGCTGGGGTCAAACTTGTTTGTTGTAAATGTGATTTTTAACTCGATAAAAACACATCTAGCTGCAGCACGTGGTCTCAGCCAATGGCTGGCAAAAACAAAATGTATTTTTATTCCAAAGTGTTGTGTACATGATCTACATGACCTTGTGTCATTGTGTTGTGTACATGTTTGTTCTGTACAAGTGTCCACAAATTACAGCACAAATCAGCTTTAATGTATATTTTTAATTGTTTTAATTCAATCCATTTCAATGCCTGGGCAGCTTTCCGTAGATTTTCTGTTATGTTTTGTCATTTTATTTATACACCATTTTCCTGGTCATAGGACGTGTTCAGCTGCTTGACTCTTTGCACGCTTGCTTAGACGTGAGGTTTTTATTTCAGCTTTGTGCCTGTGCTGCTATCTTTGCAATGGAAGTGAAGGCAAGATTAATGCCTCTAGCAAACAGCTTACTCTATACCAGGGGCGGGGGAACTCCAGGCCTCAAGGGCCAGTGTCCTGCAGGTTTTAGATGTGTCCTTGATCCATCACGGCTGATTTAAATGGCTAAATTCAACATGGCTTGAACTTTTCCAGTGGCCTGGTAATGAACTACTCATTTAAATCATCCGTGTTGGATCAACGACACATCTAAAACCTGCAGGACACCGGCCCTTGAGGCCTGACGTTCCCCACACCCTACTCTTAACCAAAGACATCTTTAGGGACTGTGATAACAGTTGCTAGTATAGGAACATAAACCAGGAATGCCTTAATATAAACTATGCACTAGCTCTGCAGTAAAGTCCAATTTGTTGTAAACTCACCTTTAATCTTCCTAGAGGCTGAAATTTTTATTACTTTGAATAGATTAGCATTTGAAAGTTTGAGGTTCTACTTTATGCCATTTCGTTATGTCCTTCTTGTCATGTTAAAATATTTAACAACCATCTGTTGTATTATAGTTCCGTGTAAGTAGCTGTCTGAAAAGCTAATGGCTTCTGCTTTTGTCTTTATATTTGATTAGTAGTTGCCACCTTGAATTTAATCTGTGCCTTTGACAGTCTTGAAAACATCCTTTGCTGTATCTGTAAAGACTGTTAGATGAACTGCCTCCATGATTAGTGTTGAAATGCTGCTTAGCTAAATTCAATCTTGCATCACTATAACCAGCATGTGCATTTGATATATGAATAAATGATCAAATGCCAAGACGTTGCCAGAGTGATCATTATTTTAAACCTGATCGTAATCTAAGACAGACCAAGACACAAGATAGTAACCAAAGTTTATTTAATTTTGGCATTACGGTCAAAAGATATTACAACATTTTTAAAGAGAGAGACACACACACACACACACACGTTGTCATCCACAGCACCACACAGCTTATCTGCCTTTTACACTGTACTGAAATCAATCTTTCCATCACATCCTGTCACAGCTCACTCTTTCGCACACCATACATTTATTTCTCTCTTTAAACATACTCTTAATAATACAATTACTTGTAAAATACACACACATCCTCTTACAAAAGTCACGCATCCAAACACAGGCATGCACACAGTGGGCTGTCTATCTGAGGCTGTTGCTGTTGGGTTGTGATCCAGCGAGACCGGGGTGGTCTGGACTGTGGCGGTTCTGTGGGGGGGCAGAAATAAGAGTTGTCACACTTATAGGATGAATATAGGTGTGGTCTTCACTGCTGCTGAGTGACATGAAGCAGGAGTTTAGGGAGGCTACATCTGCAGTGGGACCCCAGAT